CCATTGAAGCATTAAAAAGGATTTATTTAGCTCTAGTGGTGTCTAAGTTAGAATATGCATGTATCATTCGGTCTCCATTTTACAATGTGCACTGTGTGTCTCTAGAAAGAGTGCAAAACAAATTTTTGAGATTTTATTCTTTCAAGTTGGGTCTTCAAATACAGTAACACGACTATTCGAGTATATCACAAGAAATGGGCCTGAAACTATTGCAAACCAGAAGAATTCATGCAGATCTATGCTATGCATTCAAGCTGCTTAATGGGCTAATAACTTGTCCTGAATTACTTGAATCTGTCAACATTCATGTTCCGAACAGGAATCTTAGACACAGCCATTTATTTCATACAAATTATGGCAAACATACCTACACCCTTGAAAAGAACCCTAAAGTTAGTAGATGACAAAAACATCAGTATTTTTGGTGTCTCTTATGGTCGTTTAACAATCAATACAATTTCTCTATCCTATAGTATTTTATAATGTTATATAGTTGTCTGCTGCAGAAACATTCCGTAGCGTATTAGTTTATATTTTACATTTTTATATTGTACTTTTTTTCTGTGAAATTTTTACACTGTAATGGGGTTTATTCCGTATAAATACATAAATAAATACAATACAATTACAATGAGTTAAAGATAAAAACAATACATATAGAATTAGCTGAAGTAAAAAGACCCAATCTCATCGATGCAACAGTAAAAAATGTCGAGCTGACACATATTTGACGCACATGTTATGCAGAGGTGAACGTTTCAGAATATTTGTACGTGGTGTTGGCAGATAAAAAGGATTAACCACTCTAGAGGTTGGTCTAGGTACATTGAAATTCAGTTTTTGCAGAATATGTGGGTCAATAATTGAATTATTGATCAGTTTTAAAAAAATGTGCAGTGACAATCACGACGGCAACTCAAGCTATTCATAGCATGTCTAGCTAGCAATGCATCATCGGGAAATCCAATTGGTAGATAGATATTGTGTAATCTATAAGAGAGAAGTTTTAGGAAACGACGTTGTACTGATTCAACTTTTTCTGTATACAACTGATGAGTTGGATTCCAGATTATGGATGCATATTCTAATTTTGATCTGACGAAAGCACAGTCCTCGATGCCACTGATCTCACAATATAATTTCAGGTCATCCGCGTATATCAAACAGTTGATGTTCATGATCTCAACTATGTCGTTTATGTAGGCGAAAAGTGAAGTGGACCTAGGTTGTTTCCTTGTGGAACACCCGAGGTAGCTGCATATTTCACGGACTTGAAGCCATTGAATATAACATACTGACGCCTGTCAGTGAAGTATGATATAAAAAGTTGGATCAGGGTCAGAGAGAAGCCGTACCTGTACCATTTCGATAGCAGTAATCCGTGATCAAGTCTGTCAAACGCCTTAGAGAAGTCCGTATATATGACATCTGTTTGGGATCTCCTATCAATGGTTTCAGAGATATACTGGGTAACGTTGAAAAGGTTGGTGATTGTCGAGCGACCTTTCATAAAACCATGTTGAAGTGGTGTAATTTGATTGCTCGAATGAAGATATAACTGCTATAGATCAGGATTTCAAACACTTTGGCGAAGTTGCATATTATTGATATGGGTCTATAATTACCGACATCAAACTTGTCCCCTTTTTTATAAATTGGCCGAACTTTAGATAATTTTCATACATCTGAGATGGTACTAGTTTTGATGCAGATATTTATTAATATTGTCAAAGGACGAGCCAAAGAGGCAGATTGAGACCTTGGAGAGAACTTGTGACGTGACCTGGGGAGTAGGCAGATTGAGGCCCCGGCGCCAAGCCACAAATTCTTGAAAAAGGTACGGTTAATCCTTTTTATCTGCCAACACCATGTACAAATATTCTGAAACGTTCACCTCTGCTTAACATGTGTGTCAAATATATGTCAGCTCGATATTTTTTACTGTTCCATCTCTGAGATTAGGTCTTTTTACTTCAGCTAAGTATATATGTATTGTGATTTGACTTATATCCCTGTTCTGTAGAACAGTGTATAAATAAATTTATTTCTGACCGGGATATTATAAGCTTATATCGTCATAGTTACGCTATCAATAAAGAGGGACATAACTCCCTTGGGACATTATAGATTTTATAATTCCCTCTACCTTTCACAAGTAAAAATAAATAGAAATGAAAACTGAACCATATTTTATTTATTCACGTCATTACAAATAATAAATGTACAATTTTGAAATGTTCCCTGAAAATTACTTCCGCCACTGGAAACAATTTCTTCTTTTGTATGGCTGGAGCTTCTGTTCACTACAGTCGAGGTACCTGCCTCTTCTGATGACAAAGTAGACAACATACGCGCCGTTTTATTTCTCAATTCGATGCTATCCTCCAAATACCCCTCCGCCACCGTGGAACTTTTCCAACCTCCGTGTCTTTTTAAGTTAGTCATAGTTGCTCCTGCATTGGCTAGAGCANGACATCTACAACCACTCAGTGTGTATGTATAAAGAAAACTTAGATGCATTACTAAAACCAATAACTCAGATAATAAATAATATATTAACAACTGGAATATTTCCGGATAAACTAAAAATAGCGAAAGTGATACCAATATTCAAATCAGGAGATACAACATCGATATCAAACCACAGACCAATTGCATTGGTCCCCATTTTGGGTAAAATTGCTGAAAAAATAATTGCAATACGAATAGCCTCATTTTTAGAACAAAATAATTTATTCACGAGTTCGCAGTTTGGATTTAGAAAGCGGAAAAGTACTGCTGGGGCAGTTTTTGAGCTAGCCAATTTCATAGGAGAGGGATTCGAAGACAAAGTATCAACTTTGGCCGTATTTGTTGATCTGAGTAAAGCTTTCGATTGTGTCTCAAAAAATATTTTACTCGAAAAGCTGGAATACTATGGTCTCAGAGGTATATCTCTTGATTTGATGCGATCTTATATGACAAATCGAACACAATCTGTGTACCATGACAATACATTCAGTAAACAATCCCCAATAAAATATGGAGTACCACAAGGCAGTATTCTTGGACCCTTGCTGATTCTTATATATATATATAAACGATTTGCCCTCTTCAATTATTATGACGACTATCTTATATACCGACAACACAACATTTTATACGAGGGTAAGAGAAGGAGAGGAAACCACCGTTATCCAGGACATAACTGAGTCAGCTAATGATTGGTTTAAAGCGAAAACAGCTTCTATGATATTTTTAAACCAAGGAAATGATGCTCAGTCGTTAAAGTTTTTAGCAATTCACTTGGACAGTAACTTGTCGTGGAAAAGTCACACAGACAATCTTTCGAGTAGGTTATCTAAGGCTATTTATGCTATTAGACAAGTTAAAATTAATTTAGGTAGGGAAGCGGCTATCATGACATACCATTCACTATTTCATTATGTTATGACATATGGATTATTAAATTGGGGACACTCTATCTACTTACAGCCTATTTTCTTACTCCAAAAAAGAGTAATTAGAGTAATTGTAGGTTTAAACAGATTGAGATTCTGTTGAGGAAAGCCTACTACAAGGTAAATGATTTCGAATTGTCCTAAGTCAATTTGAATTACAATTCCTGTTATTTTTTCATTCTATTGGTTAAATTTGTTTCAAATTATTACATAATACTAGGAGTTTTTTCCCAACACCAAACCGTTATTTTAACACCTCGACACGTGTTTCTACCACTAAGTGTTCATCTTCAAGAGGAAGATCAAACTGATCTTCCTCTTGACTCCAGTAATATTAATTAACGAGGTTATCGGAAATACTTTCACTATACAAAACGGTGATATATATCAAATTAATGATTGAGATTTTTCCAAAAAGAACACCTTATATACAGTTGGTCAGAAAAGTTCGTAGTTTATATCCATTCGGTATTGTCTGAGAGTGAAAGAATTTCAAGAAAGCAAACATGCCGGTAAATCAAAGCAAGCAACATAGTCGTCTCAAGCAAGTGGCACTGCAATTCATCCATAAAGTCACTGAGATATTTCTACCCGCTATGCTGCTGAGGACGCTGCTAACGAGCCATTAAAATAGTGACGTTCGACAAACGACATCAAAAAAGAGACGGCCGACCGTTTTTTCTCATATTGCCTTGAAGATAGTATTAATAGGCGTCGGACTGGGGGTATTAATATAAATTTTACAATTATATATTCTGTATGATGCGAAGATAATTGACTTGCCTTCTATCAAAATGCACAAAACAAAAAATATTATCATAGCACTACTCGTATGAGCAGAAAGATTAAGGGTACGTTCCAGTATGAGAATTATCATACAGATAAAGTTACAACAAAAGTGAAAATTATTATTTCGTCCACGAAAAAAACTAATATCTTTCAAAGGGTATTGTCGAATTTATTGCAACACTCGAAAGACCAATTTGTTAATGAAATGAACTTCTTTCCGAAGAACCATATATAAAAGTTTTAAAGTGACTGAACAATCCAAAAATACATGTATGTCAATATGTCAGAACTAATCACCTATTAATACGGAGTGGTTGAGTTTGAAACCTCATACAGCTAATATGATTCAAAATCAAAATCCATTAATTGTTTTTCCACAATACCCTATTATTAATTTTTCCTGAATATGTACCATTATCATTTACATTCATTACCTATCTCCAAAACGCTGAAAGACAACGAACAAAAAAAGGAAATAGGAAAAGATAACAAATCTGGTGTGGAAGAGATTGATTAAAGGGTCGACAATCCTCTCATCAAACAAGGACAAAATACATGATTTTTGTCAAAACTGGATAATGGCCTAGAAGCCAAACCCAAGCCAGGACAGAAAGGAGAAGAAGAACGATCGTCTATTTTGTTTGACATTTACAGACTTATTGAAAGGAAAGTTAGGAGTTTCATAGTTAGTAGTTAAGAACTCCACGTTTCTTAATTGACTAGACTAAATATATTTGTGTAATTGTATAAGTTACTCTTGCCTAGTATGGATTTGTTGTAAGTTTGTCATGGCAATAATAACATTTTGTTGAATAAATGCTTTCGTTACAGATCTAAATGTAAATCAGATAAAATGTCCTATGAAGGATCGTCCAGCAAGAGGAAACATAAAAAGGAGCACAAGCATAAACACAAGAAACGTAGCAATGAAAAGTCTGAAGTGGACAAAAGTAAAAAGCATAAGAAACATAAAAAACATAAGCATAAGCAGGAAGAAGTGGAAGATAATGATAGATACACACCCGAGGAGTTAGTTAATCAGAACAACTCAAAAATGATAGTTGAAAATGTTACGAATGGAAAAGCGCTTAAAAGTGATGCTAAATCAGTGGCTGACATCATAACTGATGGGTTAGGTAGGTAACGATTTATGCTCACCAATCATTCTAGTTTTTGAAAAAAAAATTCAGACTCAGATATTTTTGCGTTAAAAAACACTTTGAACTCTCACTTGAAAAATATTGTACATAAAGCCAGACAATTCATATAGACTTATCAAAGAATCTGCAAAATCTTGGAGCTTATGGTCCATTGGATTCAGTGATTGTTAGACCAATGATCAGCCACAATAAACCCTTGCTGATTGCNCATACGAAGAAGATTAGAAATCTTTTCCCACTTATTTTTTTGCATTTTCATCATTTAACTTGTTTATTTTATTTTTAATTCTAATTATATTGTTTATATATATTTGACAGTTGGCTTATTGTTCACCCATTCACTAATTCACTTCAGGTGAAGCAAAATTATCAATGGACGTAGTCTCTTCGGAAAGCGATGATGTTCCTGAAGCTGATTGTGATAGTGTTGATATTGACATGAACGTCATAGAAGCTGATATGGACCTGGAAGAATTGATGAAACAAAAAGAACTGCTTCAGGCACAACTAGCTAGTGCAGATAGTGAAGGAGTCACCACACCTGCAGAGCCAGAAGTAAAACATGACAAGCCTGATGAAGTGATATTACTCGATGACTCTGATGATTCTGATCATGTATCCGCTGCCCCTGAAGTCAAAAAGCCACGCACTCATGAACGTAAAGTACTCCTCCGTCCTACAGAGGACCCTAAGAGAAAACAGATGTCTAGTAGAGAGAAGTCCCACAGAAGTAGGGAACGTGAGAGAGACAGACATAACCGTGAGATGGAAAGGCAGAGGAGTAGACAAGAGGCAGATCGAAGATCTAGAGAACGTTCAAGATCTGGAATAAATGATCGTCATTACCATGATAGGTATGTACATAAATCTCTATGAGAAATATAATAATATTTCTTCGTTCTTTGTAATCTCGTGTACAGAGTGGACCAAATTGGACACTTTTAAAGGGAAACTCCTGTTTTCAAACTAGATAAATGAAAACTGGTAGCTGTGTCTGAGGGTCAAATTTTATGACAAACTCAATGGTGAAAACCACATATCCATATATATCAATTCTGAGTTACAGCATGTTTTTCAAAAATGGGCATTTTCGAAAAGTTGCTGTAACATTTTTCTTGTCAAAAATGTTATGTCTCTATGAAAACATTTCCAAAGATTTTTTTACGTAGAATGAATCTAAGAGGTTTTGTATAAAAGTGTATAATTATAAAATTATTGCAAAGCGCTTTCGACTTTCGTTATCATCAGTGTTCACTTGTCAGGCAACAGGAAGTATCAAAAACGAGGACATAGTACATTTGTAATATTCGATTTAAATAAAACAAAATAGGCTGATAACCAACGAAATAAATTTTTTTGAATTGAGGCCATGTGGTTCAAAAGTATTATATGAAAGAAAGCTAATACTGTGACCGAACCACGTGGCCTTAAACCAAAAAAAAAAGGTATTTTGTTGGTTATCAGACTTTTTTGTTTTATATCATATATTACAAATGTTCTATGTCCTCGTTTTTGATACTTCCTGTTGCCTGATGATGACGAAGGTCGAAAGCGCTTTGCAATAATTTTATAATTATACACTTTAATACAAAACCTCTTCGATTCAGTCATTCAATAAGTGTATTCTACTTCCCAAATCTATTAATTTTTTACATAGAATTCAATGTTGTGAAAAACTCATTTTCTTAAATGAGATATCAATAGTTATTGATGAAAATCTTATTTTTAATGAGACAACCTGTATATTCCTGCACATTTCAATAGAGCTTAACATTTCCTCTACAAAAATGTAGCACGCTTGATGTTTTGCTAGGGTCATCTTTGAAATACAGAGTTTTTAGGTTTTTTGAAACGCAAACAGAAAAATATTGTTCATTAGTAGGTATCAAATTTTGAGAAAGCTTTTCTCAGCAGTTATTAAAACTATAGTTTCAATAAAACTGATGACAATTTATACTATATTTACTACTAATGAATGAAACAACAATAATAATAATGATAAAGAACAAACAGTGAAATATATTTTTTCAGAGAAGGTTTTTGAAGTGTCTACCAGCTTCTCCTACACATAGGCGACACCTTTTGTGAATATTATTTGTTGAATTAATTAGAGAAGCAAAACTTTGCATCACTGCCGCTTCTAATTCGTATCTAGAATTGGTCGACAATTTGAAAATGAGATCTTTCAACCTTCCCCAGAGGTAAAAGTCCATAGGTGTTAGGTCCGGTGACCTTGCCAGCCAACGGTACGGTCCTTGGTTGGCTATCCACATATTACCGAAATTTGCAGCCCAAAAATTGGCGACAATTGCAGTGTTGTGAGGCGAAGCCTCTTCTTGTTGAAAATATATGTTTTGAGCTCCATTAGTGGCAATTCATCAACAAGGGGTTCAATATTTTGCTTTAAAATTCCTCAATACCTCCGAAATATGAGAGTGCCATTGTAAATGGAACTCTCACATTTCACCTGCCCACACACTAAATCCAAATCTTTCTTGTCTTCTCTGCTTCACAATAGAATGAGGATTTTGTTGTGCCCAATAAGCGGTTGAAAATGCTGGCACTGCTCACATAAGCTATGTCTGTCCAAATACAATTTAACAAAAATCACGCCCTTGGTTACAACTTTCCAGGAATCACTGGCAAAAAGCCATTCGGCTTTCAAAATCTCCTGGTCTGAATTGATGAACTCTTCTGGTCCTATATGGCTTGAATTTGTGTTTTTTCAAAATCCTCGTAACGTTACTTTTAGTAGGCCTGTTGATGTTTTCAAATTTTGCGTTGATTTTTTGAGATTATTTTTAAAAGCTCCTAATACGACTATTTCTTCCAACTCCTTATCCCTATTTGATTCATATAATTTTGGCCTTTTCTTTTCAAATTGACCACCATAAATTAGGTTGTGTCGCAGTCTTGTGAAAATGTCTCTAAAAGGTTGTCTTCTCTCTGACGACTATTTCTTCCAACTCCTTATCCCTATTTGATATATAATTTTTGCCTTTTCTTTTCAAATTGACCTCCATAAATTTGGTTGTGTTGCAGTCTTGCGAAAGTGTTTTTAAAAGGTTTTCTTCTCTCTAGATACATCTCATGATACAAATTTCTTGCTGCTTCTGCATTTTCCCTGGTTTGTATAAAGCAGACTATCATATCCCGTTTTTCATAATTCTCATACTTCATTGCTTATTTGTTTGAAAATTAAACAAAAACCACTAATTGAAGAGCGTGTTTATGCTCAAATCAAAATTTGACAGCTACCGGTAAAGATTTGCATTCTGTTTTATCGCCGCATCATCCAATGCCTACTTGATCAAAGTGTGAGATTCAAAGTTGACATGAAAAAACCTAGAAGCTCTGTATTTCAAAGACGACTCTAGCAGAATATCAAGTGTGCTACCTTTTTGGAAAGGTAATTTTAAGCTTCATTATATGCAGGAATACACAGGGTGTCTCATTAAAAAAATAAATTTTTAAAGCCACTGAATTCTACGTAAAAAAAGTGCTTAGCTAATGTTTTCATAGAAACAAGAAATTTTTGACAGGAAACAAGTTGCAGCAACTTTTTGAAAATGCGCATTTTGGAAAAAAATGCTGTAACTCAGAATTGATAGATATCGGTATGCGGTTATCACTATTAAGTTTGTCATAAAATATTGGTATGCGGTTTTCACTATCAAGTTTGTCGTAAAATTTTATGCTCAGACACAGCTATCGGTTTTCATCTATCTAGTTTGAAAACAGGGGTTTCCTTTTAAAAGTGTATACAAATTTTTTAATAGTGCTCCTTGAAGCACCATAGAAAACTGAAAGGAAATAGTAAACCGTCGTTTAAATATTACCCAACTCGTGAAAATGAGAGATAAATTATTTTATGAAAAGAAATATAATCCTAATTACATACTATTTGTTGAAGGATATAATCGAAATAACAAAATGGTTCAATAATAGGTAGATAGATAGATAGACATATAGTTTGTTGTCCAAGAAAATACAATCTGATTGACAGACCTTGTATGTATAGCACTTCAAAGAATAAAAGAAAGAAACAATTCAAAAACACAAATACCCAAAAACACAATTTGTGCAAAACTAAGTTCACATATCTAATAGATAAAATATAACAATAAAAAATAAAATTTAACAAAGTTTGTAGACAAAATAGTTTGTATAGTTCCTTTCAAAAAATGTGAATAACAAATATACACAATTTGTCATATGTCGTAGCAATAAAATAAGATATATTCCAGTATAAAATATAATTTAACGTATATATGTCAATATAAACAACAAAAAATAAACCTATATTTGAATCACAGCAAAGTTCAATTGTAATATTCATCAAGATTGTAGTACACTTTTGTTGTAAGGGCATCTTTTATAAGATTCATGAACTTTTTATAGCTTTTTTCCTTCCTAATTTCGTAAGGTATGTGATTATACAGCTTTTTACTTTCATAAATTAAAGAATACTTTGTCTGGCTTGTTTTTGGAACAGGAAGATGTATTTTATTTTCTGTAACTTGCCGAGTTATGTAATTTATATGTTCCGGAGTGCCAACCATATCAAGTTTTTTGTGAATCAGGCAAACAGTTTCAAGTGTGAAAAGACAAGTAAAAGTGAGAATTTTTTCTCTCAAAAATAATGGTCTCCATTACTCACGCACTCCCTCCCACAACATTGAATGAAAAAGTTGTTGAACGCAAAATCCCCAGAAGGCAACACCATATCTCGGGTGGGACAAAATTAGGGAATGATATACCATTTTTGTTGACGATGAACTCAGTTCATTTGATACTATTCGAAAGGCCAAAGAGGAATATTACGTAGTTCTTGGATGCAAATCCAAAATCTATTTGAAAGACATCAAATAACCTCTTGTATATTAACTTAGATATAAAAGAAATTCTGATAAATTATGACAGACAATAAAAATTATAGGATGCTACTTGTATTTGTGAAAAATTAAGAAAATATTTTGTGATTGAATGACCTTGTTTAGCAGCAAATATTTCGGGCACTAGTTCAATAAGGAGAAATAAATTCGAAAATTCATGATCTGGTTCATTGTTTTTGAAACTCAAGAAATTGAAAAAATAATTGATGACATGGATAACAAAAAATCTCCTGAGGTCGAAGTTAAATCAGATCTAGCTCCCTTATTCTGTACTTTAATGAATTTATATTATTTGGATCTGGAAAATTGTAAAGGTATTGAAAATTTTTAAAAAGGGCAACCAACTAAAGAGCAGTTTTGTTACTTCCGGTTTCATCGAAAATTTTTGAGAAAATTGTGCTAATTTTATGTTTGTAGATCTAGGCAAAGGTCTCCGGATAGAGGAAGAGACCAAAGAAACAGAGACGTTAGAAGAGGCTACAGCGATAGAGACAGACACAGGTCGACAAGGCACAGGTCTAGGGACAGGGATCACAGAGAGCGATTGAAATCAAAAAAAGAAAAAGCTGACAAGTTCAAAGATTCTCTAAGTGAAGGACAGAATGCCAAAGTTAGTAGTAGTGATAGCAGTGATGTAGAGATTCAGCTCGACTTGAGCGAGGAGGAAGAAGATGAAGAAGCAATTATAGAAAGAAGAAGAAAGCAGAGGGAAGAATTACTCAAGGTGGGTTTTTTAGTTTTAGTAAACTTTTCTGTCTGTCACCTTAAAAATGTTATTGGAACCAAGTGAATATGTGAAATTTATTTCAGAGATTGGGTGCAAACAATCCTACAGTATCCCAAAATCAACCCCAGCCTGAACCAATCTCTCCAACCAAAGTTGTTATAGACGAAAAGCAAGACGTTATCATTGTTGAAGAGACAAAATCAATTCTAGAACCGCCCAAAGTTGATGAAACTAAGAAGGCACACCAAGAAGATCAGAAAAAAGAGAATAAAGAAATAATCACAGAAAACGAAGAGTCTCTTACACCTCCTCTTTTACCTAATATGAAGACGATGAATATTTCAAGTGATAAGAGAAATGACAAAGACAAGAGCAAAAAATCTGAGTGGGATATGTTTGCTGAACAGGATATATTCAAAGTCAATACCAAAGTAAGTGTTTTTCACATAATCATCTTTTGGAATGTAATAAAACTAAACTCTGATCTGCAAACTACAATTTGTTTGTAAACCAAAATACTACCAAATGTTACAGAAAAAGCCTTTTTTGATATTCATGAGAAAGCGTCTACCTTAGAACCAAACAGTCTTTATTGTACATAATAATAATATTTATTAGTTTCAAGAAACACACAGTTTTTAGACACGTCAATACAATTTCTAAAATAGGTTTGAGAGGGTAAGATTTGTCAATGTAGTTTTAAAAAAATGCTTGTAGATAAATTAGATTTATAAAAAAATACAAGTTAACAAGATAAAATTCCAATCTTATAAGACTTGACCAAAATGTAAAGCCATGAGCTTTTACAAATTATAAACACATAGCTAACGTATTATATATATTCAAAGTTGGATAACTTCTTCTTGGATAACTTCGAAAAATTGATCAATTTCATATAAAGGATGTTTGGTTAATATTTTATTCAATAAGTTTTTGAATCTTCTAAATGGCAAGTTACGAAATTCGGCAGATAAGGCATTGTATAGCTTAATTCCTATATTATCTGTTCTTTTCAACCTATTAGCTGTAGGAACAAGGTTTGATTTATTTCTTGTATCATGTTGGTGTATATCCTTGTGAGCAACTTCATTCAACAAGTTTTGTTGAACAAGAAGCAGATTTTCATGGATAATAACTGAATATAGGGTCATTATTTTAAGTTTTACAAATATTGGTCGACACTTTTCATCATAATTGGCAGAGATTATGCTTCTTACTGCAGATTTTTGAATGAAAAATATTCTATTAAGATGTACCTTTGATGCATTATTCCAATTGATTATACCATACCTAAGGACTGAATGAAAAAGAGAATGATATGGTGCTAGTGCCGCACTTTGATTTACTATTTTTTTGATTCTTCTGATAGCAAAAACCGTCTTACTAAGTTTACTACACATGTTATTTATGTGGTCTGTCCATTTCAGGTGGGAATCTATTTGTACTCCCAAAAATTTGGTAGAATTTTTGTTATCTCGATTTAAGCAAATTGTTTCAAAAGTTAGAGTTTTTGTTTTTTGTTCATTGAGAATCAAGTCATTTGGTGTGAACTATGATCGAGCTTTCTCTAATATGTCAGTATGGATCATATGAGGATCACCTGTTTTATATATTTTTTTGCCCAAGGTTGCATCATCTGCATACAATATTAGTTTCTATGCCTGGCGAGTTCATCACGTGAGGTAGGTCGTTGATATATATTAGAAACAGAAGTGGCCCCAATATTGACCCTTGTGGCACTCCTCTTAATATTTTTCTTCCAATATCAATAATTAAAAAAGCATTANACTGATTTTGACAAATAAAGCAATTAGTTACTTAGGTTAGAATCTAGGACAAACAAAGGAACAGGATTCTTGATTGAAAAATTATGGGTTTCCATTGGTTGATAATCTGTATCGTTATGAAAAATCTGTATCATAATGGATATCATTATGAAACGGATTATGGTCATATAAGTGTATTGTTAGAGTACGGGTGTAGAAAAATATAAATATGATAGAATCAAGTTATTTGGAATCGTGCACACCACTTTTCATAAAACCTGGAGTATTGCCATTTGATAATAATAAAAAATTTTTGGATTTATGTTTTGTCTAACTTCAATTTTTAATTTTCTGAAATCCGTTGTGTCATTTTTTTAATTCTAACGAAGAATATTTATAGAACTTTGAATAGCACTTTAGTTTTCTGCTATATCATCTGCAAACAATTTGAAAGTTCTGATCAAGGACAATGATTTTATATAATTTTAAACCGGTTCAGGTCCTAGAATGGAATTCCTGTGAAACATTGTGATTGAAGTTTTACAAAGAACTTTTGATATTATTCAGTTGAACATATTGCTTTCTGTTATTTTAATTAGTTTTAAAATAACAACGGGTAGTCCCACTAAACCAATATTATATAGTTCCGCTTGAAGAAATTTCATGGTTGATAGGATGGAAAGTTTCTTCAAATTTAAAGAAAGTATAGTACATTTTTTTATTTTATCCAATACGATTTGAATATCTGTAATCAGATCTAATGTAGCAACTTCTGCATTCATCCCTGTAATTTGATTAATGTAACGGTCATTAGTTTCTTGAACGACTTGATCAATAGTTTATCCTGTCACCTTTCATTATTATTATTTGTTTCAGTCACCAAGCACGATTACGACAAAGGGCACAGGTGCAGAAAATCCTGCTCTCACTGATAATTGGGACGATGCAGAAGGTTATTACAGGGTTAGAATCAGTGAAATATTAGATTCGAGATATCTGGTATACGGGTACACTGGTCAAGGAGTTTTCAGTAATGTTATCAGAGCTAGGGATCAAGCGAGGGGAAATCAGGACGTTGCCGTCAAAATAATTAGAAATAATGAGATCATGTGAGTAATTTTTTTCAACTGAGGCCAATTGGTCGCTATAATTTCAACTGTGTTTAGGCATAAAACTGGTCTCAAAGAGCTGGAGATATTGAAAAAACTGAACGACGCCGATCCAGAAGATAAACTCCATTGCCTCAGATTGATTAGACACTTTTTTCACAAACAGCACTTGTGTATGGTATTCGAACCTTTGGCTATGAATTTAAGAGAAGTACTCAAGAAATACGGAAAAGATGTGGGGCTCCACATAAAAGCTGTCAGAAGTTATACTCAACAGTTGTTATTGGCTCTGAAATTATTGAAAAAGTCCGGAATTCTACATGCAGGTAAAGAAAGTTTTTTTTCATTTCTAATTAGACTTCTGAGATTCATCTAGTTCATTCTGATATCTTGACATTTTTACAAAAAAGCAAAATTGTTAAGAAGCTCTGAAAATTTGCAGACAAATCAATTTGTATTTCTCATATGAAGAAATAAATATTTAGAAATAAATTTCGAAATATTAATCTCTCCCAATAACCTACACAGTAGGGTGTGGTAAACAAACAGAAAACAACTACTTCCCCGGCTAATACCACGCTGGATATTGAATTCCAACAGACGTTCACCACACCCTACTGTGTGGGTAGTTGGGAGAGATTAATATTTCAAAATATTCTTTTTCTTATACGTATGTATCTCTCCTCGATAGTTTTCACTTTTGATTTTTATATTTTTCAAATTTCTTTCAGGAAATTTTTTCAGTATGATTTTTAATTGGCCATCGTCAAGTAATGTGTCAATTTCTTTAAAAGTTTTCCTGAAGATTTGTCTAAAATGTAATGAATGTACAATCAGAGGATCAGAAGTGGAAGTCAAATGTTTTTCATATCCTAAAAATGAAAATTATATTTCTTTTGTTAATTATAATTTTCGATCTTTTGGGTACATGTTTCCATTTCTGATTGGTGGATCTTTTACACTTTTCATCCAGTGTATATTTATTTTTGTCATTGTTAGATGTTCATATTTATATAGTCTAAAAAATGTTAACAGGATTGAAAGTTTTCAGGAAAAAAAAGATTAATGCATTTTTTTATTCTTCCGGTAGATATCACTTTTTGAGATAATCGAAATCTAAACCTCTGATTCATCAAATTACATTGTGAACCACATTCCAACAAACATCTTTGTCATTATTTTGGTTTCAAATTCATCTTTAAAATAGAAATTCTGTTACCTATTAGTTGATTGTCATTTGCGTTACTTATTTGCAACGACTTCAAAATGTGTTTGAGCCTACGACATTAAATTTCTAAATTTTTTCTCAGATATCAAACCGGATAACATATTAGTTAATGAAAGCAAACATCTGCTGAAACTGTGCGATTTTGGATCGGCCTCCATAGTGAACGAAAACGAAATAACTCCCTACTTGGTCTCGAGGTTTTACAGAGCTCCAGAAATCATATTGGGCATGACTTATGATTATGCCATCGATATGTGGTCTGCTGCATGTACTATTTATGAATTATATACCGGTAAAATAATGTTCTCAGGAAAATCCAACAATCAAATGCTCAAATTTTTCATGGACGTGAAAGGAAAGTTCCCGAATAAGGTCATAAGGAAGGGAGCCTTCAAAGATCAGCACTTTGATGGCAATTACAACTTTTTATATCATGAGATCGACAAGGTCACTGAGCGGGTAAGTTTTTAATTTCTACATTCATATTTACATGATGATTGTTTTAAATAGTACAACCCCAACAATAGGAAAGTTCTGAATTTGGGTTGTTACTTAATGAGATGTTAACTATTCTGCACAAATACAGTTTGAAAATGTTTGATTTGTAAGGCCTNTTCATTTCAGTACTGAATTTAACTGATGAAATTGACAAACTTGTCCAATTACCTGCGTGTACGAGTAAAGCAGACTAAGATATCATCTGTGTATCTGTACCAGTTTAAAAAACTATTATTCAATTGATTATTATGAATTTCATTTTCGAAGTTTTCCCCTTGAAGAAGCTATTCTATAGCGAAACACGTGTTGCGGTTTTGTAATCTCATAAAGTTTTACTTGAATCGTGAAGTGACTAAAATCTAAAGACTATGACAATTTGCAGATACATAAAATCATAAAACTAGATAAGATTGGATTGTGAAAGAATATCCTTATCTTCTACTACCCATTAATTAGCTCATTTCAAATGATTAGTTGATTATCGAAAAGGTTGAAAAGGTCATAAATGGTTTTTGATAAAATATACTTTCATAAACTACACACAAAGTTTGACGATTTAGACATTCCAGGATGTTACTCGTATAACTTATTGATTTATTGTTATTTCTATTGACAGGAGAAAGTTGTAGTTATGTCTGTGGTGAAGGTAACCCGAGAGTTGCAATCAGAGCTTATAGCGGGACAAGCTTTGCCTCCAGACCAGCTACGAAAAGTCACCCAGCTCAAGGACCTCCTCGAGAAGGCTCTATCGATCGATCCTGCCAAAAGGATCAGCCTAAATAATGCATTGACACATCCTTTCATCCAGGACAAAATATGAAAATGGTTTAGAGAGGTAAAAACCACAGGAACTCCCAAAAATGTTTTAAGATATTTTCCTATTTGAATCACATGCATTTTATATTGATACATATATACACCGTTGTATATATATAGTAAACATTGTTTTATGTGATTTAGTTGTTCAATAAACTTTTGAATATAAACTGTAATTTTCTCATATCGACCCAAATAGTCTGGAATGTTGTACTGTAGTATATTATTGTTTGTTACAGAATGGCGTTAAAGGAATATCGAGAGAGTCTTGATGGGAAACCAGATTAAAAAATCCAAGGTATTCTTAGTGGGAAAATGAACAGTTTGTTTATTTCTTTCTGAGTAAATTTGAATGCATCTTCAAGTATGGCAGGGTCTGCTATAATTTAATTGAAAATTCAGTCATTAAGTCACTTAGTTGACAATGCTGAGAACGGCAATGACAAGAGGCCATTTTGAAATGTATTCAAACTCTGCAGCCCTAATATTATTTTTTTCAAAAAGATTCACCCCCTTATTTTTCTTTACAGTGAACAAAGAAAGTCACTCCAGAGAAAGAGTGGATTGTGATAAGTTAGATTCGTGGATCTCCGGAATTTGTAAAAAAAAAGGATAAGTATCTCTCATGTGATGAACAACACTTCTAATCGGTTTTTATTATATTATAGTGATCTCGTCAGCCTGCGGTAAAGTTGGTTATAACATTCAATGGGAATCAAAGGTAAGTGCGATAAAATGGAGCTTTACCGTGGAGGTATCAATATTGTGACTAGTTACCTTGTTTTTCACGAATCCTGTAAGGAAATTCTGGAGGGATGTTATGATATCGATAACAAAAACCAGGATTTGTCTTTATTGTAAGCAAAATATAATTGCATAATTTTGTAACGGTTGAAATTTCTGAATTCAGAAGAATCAGTAGAGCCGCCCTGTAGGTTCGTTATTTTATCAGAATATTGCTGGGATGGTGGCTTGTCTATTAAGCAGGAGTAAATAAAACCGAGGAGATGGTCAGTATTTAGAAACGATTCAGATCAGTATCTATCATAAAGCCGACACGAAAGCAAGGCTCCAGCTAGGGACTGTCCGAAACCTAAAAACATCTAAGGTCAGTCAAATTAGTCAATTCAATATTTTCATTTCCTATTCTTGAAATATTGTTAGAGAATTCCATGACACATGTTTTCAGGTTTTTCGACAAGAATAATAAGATCACCTGTGAAAGATTCACGTCGAGAACTGTCTGACCATGTATTCATTTTTTTGGGGTAAAAAAAAGCTTTCAAGGCATATTTATCTGGTAATTGGAGAAATCCTTCGGAAAAGCTATAGTTGCATCATACACGTCGTTCTTCGAGATACGAGGAGACATTCTAGAAAGTACCAACGGAGAACTATAGCAAGTATAAAAAAAAACATCAAAAATGATGATACCCCGTTAGTAGAAGCCCTGATATTGATGATATATTTTGGAGCGGTGTGATAACTGAACTCTACAGTTCATTCCTTAAAAAGTAGAGGATAGTTTAAGTATTTACCTTTTCTCTTTGCACCTAAGACAGCTGTTGAGCGGGGTTATAAATTATTGAGTTCAATTATAGTTAATCGAAAAGTAGGTTCTGGATAGATTAAGATTCAGATAGTTACTTTTCACAACTCATTTGTTCCCTCACTTTCAATTTATGTAATGATCTATCTGTCAGTTTACTACTTGAATACTTGGATTCAATATTGTTCCGTGATAAGAGTTCCCCAGTGGTAATTGATCAGAACGGACTATAGCAGCGTATTAATATCTTTACTCGAAACATTTGTTTAAGTATTAAGTATTGGTTCTTTTAACTTGATACATATACAATGTGACCCATTTTTAATGGAAACACCCCCCTAAAATTTGAAGTTGTAAATCGATTTTAATATTTTTTTTTTAATGTCAAGTACTAAAAGGTCTACCTTGGGACAAAATTTGAAATGTTTATTAAAGTTTCAGGGCATACCACGATATTTTTTCTTAGTCGAAAATCGGGATTTTTTATTAGCGATTTTTTTATTGA